ACAAAGGTAATCCACCTTGAATCTTTAATTTCTTTGACTATATGAACCCTAAAAAATGTAGAATCAAAATCTTGGGTTTTTTTAGCTCATTGTGGAGAGAAAGTGAGAGATATGTGTTGTAATGTGTTGTTTAGTTCATGAGAATAGAAAAAGAAGAAGGGTAAATGGAATTTGGAGGCATTAAGAGCTTCAAAATTGGCTGTTCATGGTTGTTGGAGTATTGATGACAATGGCAATCTTGTAATTACTTGAAGATGATGAGGGTGAGAGAGTAAATATGTTATTTTCGAAACCAAAAAAAAAAAAAAATTGATGGCATTTTCGTGAATTATATGAACTTGTGGGGTGAATTGGGCAAAATAAAGTTCCAAAAAAAAAGGAGGTTAGTTTTGTGGTTGACTTCAAGTTTCAGGTCAATTCTGCAAAAAGCCCTCTAATAAAAGTGAAGACGGAGTTAGTGTTTAATTAAAAATGTGAAGGAACAATATTCTTTAAAATCCTCTATGATAGATTATATTGCTAGTTTTCTTTCCCATTAAATTAACCTTGTTTGACTCATTATCACTATAATTGAAGAGTAAAAAACCGAAATGCATAACATTAAACTAATTCAAAAATCAAGATTTCGTTAGAAATTATCACAGTTTCTTCATCCATTTCACAACATGGAAATTTACTTCACTTCGAAACAATATAAAGACATATTTAAAGCGAAGCATTACAAAAAGAACAAAGTTTGGAGAGGAAGAGAGGTTGGAACATATTAGGGTTCCTAATCCAAATTAGTGCTAAACTGAATTATGGTTCAATCGATTTGAGGATTTTTGGCTGAGAAAGAGAGTACTTTTCACAGTTTAACAATGTGCTTGATTAAGCACTAATCAATGTGTAAAATTTTCGAATTTCAAAAGTTTATGTATTTAATAAGAAATGAAAGTTAGTTCGTGGGTTGAACATGGGTTCAAAACAATTCCTGTATTTTATTAGCAACTAAAAATTAGTTCGTGTATTTCTTAAGAAATTTTCCCTTCACAATTAAACCATGTGTTTTATTAAACCCTACGCCCTCGTCGCATATGTTATACATAGTTTACGTTGTCTTAAACCGAAGTGTAAAACCTGGTGAATTTAATGGGAGACAAAAATTAGTTTGTGTATAAAATGGAGATCCAAAATAGTTCATGTAATTTATTAGAAAATAGAAAATAATTCATGTAAATTTAAGGAGTTTTCCCTAGTTTTTACGCTCTTCATTATGTCTTTTATAACTTTATCTTTTGAGAATTCAATCTAATATAAGAATTATAGAGTGGATGGTGTATTATCAGAGAGCCTTTTTTAGGTTTGGCTCTGATTTTGGCAGATTTAGAAGTGAAGATGGTTTGTTGATAATTTTTGGCTTAATATGCGATAGTTTGATGTTATTTATTGTAGATCTACTAGGATCTTTTTTACTGGAGAACATGATGTTTGACTCTGAAGACTCAGAACTCGATCTTTTGGTAGGTATCAGTACATTTGAAGTAGTACTACACAACAATATTTCTTGGCAGATTCTTTTTTGCTTTTAATCACCATATTTTCTTTTTTGGGGGGGGGAGGNAGGGGGGGAGGGGGGGGGATTTGGTGTTTAATATGACTCTAATAATCCATTCAGGGTTATAGGTTATTTTAGTTTGAGTTGTAGTTTCAATTTGGTATTTATGCTTTTTCAGAATTAATAATGAACAAAATTTAGGACGAGCTAGATTTCTTGATAGTAAGAGATATTATCGTTTTTGACCAAAAAAAGAGAGAGATATTATCGGTTTATTGTAACACAAAGCAACCAAGAGCACTGCAAATCTTGAAACCCGTACTAATTATTTGGTAATGATTATTTATAAAGATTATAAAATAAGAACTTTGTGAATAACAATATTCACAGAACAAAAAGATGTAATCAGACTCAAGTTGACAGAAAGACTTATATATTGATATATAAAAAAGGTTTACTAGGTTTATGGAGTATAATCAAACTAGACTAATCTAATTATTGAAAGAGAAGATGAGGTAGCTATGGTCTAACTTAAGATGCCGATGTTGATGGTGATTGTCTGAGTGTGAAAACATGTCCTTCCTTTCTCCTCCTCGTTCCTTTTTATACTCATTCTCAGTTAGTCACATCTGATATCTCCTCCATGTTACATTGCAGTCCAAAGTACAAACTTTTCCGGGAGATTGATGGTTGAGAGGATGGACAATATGAAAGACCATTGAATTGAATCGAAAGCATTGTATATGTCAATCCTAACCGCGCAACGAGATATATTGGTGGGTTGTTATAGCTTTTCACCAGCTCAGAAGCAAGTAACACATTTTCCATAAGAAGTCGATCTTTAACTAAAGCTAATTGGTTAGGAGATATATATTTTGCTAGCACTTTTTCAATTTGTTTGCTAAAATCTTAGAGATGACCTTGTATACATTTCAACATGAGATTGGTTTATATAATCTCCCATTCATATTGCTTCGTCTTTCTTCCGAATGGAGACAAAATGGTGGAGTTTGTCTTTTTGAAGAAAACCAATAGCAAAAATACTGCAATTTATAGAATTCACAAGTAAAATCATCATTACCAAGAGACTTATTTGCAGCCGTTGCAAACAAAACCTTCTCCATCTCACCGGCGGATACTTCTCTGTCCAGCATCCTCATATCTGTCTCATAGCATTCAAATCCCAGAAGATTTTTAGCTCTTCTCACTGATATCAACATTAGAACTTTGAACCAAATGTAACACTTCGTTGTAGACACATTTGTTAGATCGACTATATACAGTATATTTATGTAAGTAGGCCCATTTTTGTAGATAACTATTTTGGGCCTAATCTGGTCTATGAAAGATTCCTCGGCTATTTAGACGCAACAACCAGAAGATGTGTGCATCGTTTATTTTCTTCTCTGGAAATTTAGGGCTTAAATGTTAAAGTTACGATCTAGGATTCTTGTCACCGTTGCCACCAAAAATGCATACGGAGCCCTCCTCAGTATTTTCGTTAGCTATCTCGATCATCTCTAGACAGATGGAATCAATGTCAATGACAAATGGTGTTCTCCGTCGTAGCAAAACGATTCCACCGTCTAGATATTCCGCTTACAGTTCGGGGTCTGTTACATTCATTTGCCATTGTACTGAGTTTGCGTAGTTATTTTTTTCCATTTTTTCAGTACTAGTTTACGCAAAAAGAAGGAGAAGAAGCAAAAAGAAGAGGCTATACGACTTGGATTTGAGCTCTCAATCTTTGTGGCTGAAGCAACGTTCCTATTCAGGCCGGCCCAAAGCATAGGCAAAGGAAACCATTCCTTAGGGCCCAAACTTTTTTGAGACCTATTTAGCTTAAACTAAAAAAAAAACTTTTTTTTTATAGAGGGACAAGGACCCATTTTTTGAATTTGAATGGGGCCTCCGGTGGGTAGGGGCCGTCCTGTACCTATTATCGGATGACATATATTCTGCGGTTTCGTTTGGTTGCTGGCTATGCAAGAACGTAGGAAACGAAAACTACGAAGGTCCGGTGGTTGGAAGGCTGTCTTGTGTTTTCGTTCACGTGTTTGAAACATATATCATACCCAAAAATGGAAGCGTGGTGCCACGCTGGTGATAATTCAAAGCAATGGGGAGCTGATCACTACGTCTACCCAGCATTTTTCTTTTAGCGTCGAAGCTTTGGATCACATTGTCTCAATTCTCAAGAATGGTGAAGTAGTGAAACCGTCTGGTCTTGAATACTACAACCGAGAACTGAAGAACCTAGAGGAGAAGCTCAGGTCTGCCAAACATGTTTCAGAGGCTAATGGGTTTGATATGAAAGCTATAAAGCCGACAGTTCTGCAGATGTGGATGTCACTATTTTCAGCATCACCCTAGGGGATAAACCCTAAAATAAGCTCCAATGGGTCAGAGAAATACACTACGATGAAAAGGTGAGTGCATCATAAACTTATTTCTTATTTTTTGGATTTGATCATCAATTAATGGGGTTTCAAATTGAAGGGTTAAAGTTTTCGGGGAAAAGTGATAATTTGCTTGATTGCTTATAAATATTTTTTTTCTAAAAAGTGTTGGGAAGCCCCCAAAGATTTCATAACGAGCCCTCTTCAATGACTTCAACTGACATCACAAAACGAATGGACATAGTGGTGATGATGCAGCGAGTTTTACTGGGTAACACGAAACAGCGTAAATATTTACCTTACATTACAAGGTCAGTGAGAGAATTTGCTTTATTCTGCATTTACTTACAAATTACAATGTCACAAAAGTTTATTTATTTAGTTCCCCATTTTTCTGGACTAGTTTTACCAAGGAGAAGCAGAAAGAGGAGGTTGTGAAATTAGGAGTGGAGCTCTCTCTCTTCGTGGCTGAAACAATGTTCCTATTATCCGATGACATACGTTCTACATTGTACTTCTGTTTTTGGCTATTTAAGTTTCCAGGACCGGTCCGGTTTTTGGAAGGCTGTTTCGTGTTGTTGAATATGTGTTTATAGCACATATCAAACCCAAGAATGGAATCTATCATGATGGTGGCATATCAATCCACTGCCAGCAGTCCAAAGCGTTGTACCCAAATTTTACTTCTGTAAAATTTTTGGATCGTATTGTTATGATTCTAAAAAACGGTGGCGGAGTGAAATTGTGTGGTTTCGGATATTGCAACCAAGAGGTGAAGAAGCTAGCAGAGAAGTTAGGGTATTCCAAGGATGTTTCGAAGGCGAATGGATTTGTGAGGGAAGCGATAAAGTGTAACATTTTCCAGTTGTGGAAACCTCTTTTTGGAACGACACCTGAAGTGATAAACCCTATTACAAGAGTTCTTGAGCTGTATGGGCCTGTTGGAAACAAATTTAACCAGATTGCATGTTGTGAGCGCCTTGCTTCTTTAGTAATATGAATCAGAGTTTGTGCAACTGAATCAGAGTTTCTAAAGTTGGATTTTTCTTTTATGTATCTAAACTATTAAAGGGGAAGTACAAATAGTATATATCCCTTAGTTTTCCACAAAAATTACAACTTTATGTCATTGAAGTTAAAACACAGTAGTTTTGATTAATGTCTAATTATTATTTCGTTGGGCTGTTGTAAATTTGTTTTTACCAGCCCATGAAGAGGAATTTCATTGGCCTGTTAAATCATTTTAATTATAGACAAATGCATAGTTTATACGTATTACATGTATACTTATAGATATGAGTATTAAAATAAAATAAAGATCAAGTTTAAAAACATAATAAAGTTTAAAATCTATTTTCTTATTTTTAGATTTCATAGAAAAATATAAAATAGATAATTTAAATCGTTTTTGTAACAAGTTGGAGTTACATCATACAATTCAATATACAATAACATTAAAATTAATAAGTGTTTAAATATACTGTAAATTTTAAATTTTAAAAAAAAAATCAGATTGACTTACATATTGGATATCTATCTGTTCAAACGGTAACTTCGACTTTGAACACTCATACAATAAGAGAAATATATAACAGCTCACAAATATATATATATATATATATAACACAATTCAAAAACATGAAAGTAATTTATGCTATGAATTATAAACTAAAATCTAACAAATGAACCCATTATATGAAATTTTTATATAAAATCATTAAGTTTTTATCTGTTTTAAATGTTTATATAATTATAAAATAAAAATTCAAAATACAATAACATTAAAATTAATAAGTGTTTAATATAATATAAAATTGAATTTAAATTTTCAATTAAAAAAATCAGATTGAATTACATATTGGATATCCATCTATTCAAACGGTAGCTTCGACTTTTAAAACTCATACAATAAGAGAAATATATAACAACTCACAAATATATATATCAGAATACAGAAACATGAAAGTAATTTATGCTATGAATTATAAACTAAAGTCTAAGAAATGAACCCATTATATGAAACTGTTATATAAAATCATTAACTTTTTGTGTATTTTAAATGTTTATGTAATTATATTAAACACCTGCGCGGACGCGCGGGTCAAGATCTAGTTGACTTAATTATTGCAGCTTGGTATCCCGCTTATGTATACTTCACCTATTTCTTGGAAATTAAGTGCTTACAATATTGATAATCTAATCTATTATATAGAACCCTATTTGAAATTTAGTAATTTACCATAGCATATTTTGTTTTTTGACTTATTCATGAAGTTATCATTTAATAAAGACCCACTTCTATACATATATTAAATGATCATCAATATACTTAAATTAAACCGATATACCGTTAAACGTTTCTACTTAATTTAATCTGTACCTACCAATATACTTAAACTAGATATGGACCCGTGTGTTGCACGGGTTTTGATTAATATTTTATAAGTTTAATAAAAAAAGATAAAAATAAGAAACTTTTTTTTTATTGAAATTGAATGTTTTTATATATGGTGTGTCGAATTCATTTTAGGAATCAAAATTTGGTTTTTTTTTACATAAGTTTTGGTTAAACTTCAATTCAATAATCATGGCACATATATGTAGAGCTAGAGAAAATAAGCGAGATCCGAAAGTTTAAATTAAACGCAATCTAAATAAATGTAAATTAGAGTGAAATACAAAGAATTTGAAAGGTGAATCAAGCCAATCAAGTATATGATAATGGAATATACTTTATTAAACTCTTAGTTTTGTCTTTATTAATTTGCTTTTATTCTTCTTACTCAAAAATATTATGAAGTTTCAATTGTCATTTAGTAATGCTTGTGTTGTCATTGTAAGGTCTCGATTTTTCTGTGCTTTTATCATTTATATACTTTGGTAATAGAATTTCTCTATTTTAGAACAAAATTTATAGATGAATCTATAAGTGAATTGCAAATAATCTTAGTTGCATAGGTAATAGAAAACATTATATATCAGCATTTTATCATCTAATTTAGAGGTAATAAAACTATTAATACCTTATGAAATTTTATCCTGTTTTGATCCTTGTAGCCACAAAAATATATGTGTTTTATAAAAATTATGTTTTAAAATCTCGATTGTATGAATAATCTTTTATGAAAATATATTGTATTAGTTCATGTTTTAATAGACATAAAAAGAAACAATCATTAAAAAGATTTTTATTTTATTTCATTTCAAATATATGATATTCAATATTAAATATATATTTTAGAGTCTTGTTTCTCTCTTTTAATGGTCTCATTGCATGACGAAATCCAGCAGCCAATTTCAAGTTTTTTCTTACTTTGAATATGCAGCTATATTAACAAAATTTTCCAGAAAAAATATGCATATAATATTAAATTATGATTTTCTGCACAAAACAATTAATTACATAACTATACATATAACCTTTTTAATAAAATAATAAAAGGAACTAAATATTTATCTTTACATCAACTAAGAGAAAATTTATTCCTATTTTTTCTTTATTTTATTTTATTTTATTTTTAAATTACTTACTTCTCACTTTTTAGTAACAATAAATAACTTTCTTACTACTGATTCGTTTTAAATAATTTTACGAATTCATTATTTTTGATGATATATTTTCATTATAACAACATAACTAAAAAATGAATTATAAAAACAGAGTAATCACAAACAAAATATAATAAGGTGATGCATGGAACTTGATTTTTTTTCAACCAAACACATATAAAGATCAATTATGGTTATAATATATTAATATTTTAAATGACTGAACACTAAAAATTATATCAAATAGGTTTTTGATTTTCGTATGACCAAACACATAAAAACTAAACATGACAACATCCTAATTTTCATATGATTATTCATAAAAATGTAAATACAGTTAAACGCTACAAAAATACTAAAATAAAAATAATCAAAATTCTATTAAGCTACCTTGAATTCATTTAAAGCACATAGCATGCTTTGACAAAAGGGATAGAACTAAAAATGAAAAAGAAAGACATCTACTGTTTTAAAAATAGACAATAAAGCATTGATATATTATAAATTTTAAAGATTACATGAATCTAAATGTTTTGAATTTTTCTAAAAAGTGTCGCTTGTTTCTTCTTACCTTTGTGTTTCGTTCTTTTCTTTGTTATTTTCACAATATTATCCATAGAAATTGACTAAACAGAAAAAATAAAATTCAAGTAATTAAGTTACATATATAATATATCTACCTAACATAAGATATAGTATATTTACTTTTATGTGTTTATGAATCTTTACAACTTTGATAAAAAGATTGAATTTATCCTTTTTACATTTATCTCAAATAAATAAATTTCATCCATAATTAAATGTACGTTCTTTGGAAATATCTTATAATCCTTGTTCATGTGTGTTTATTTTAAACTGTCAATGTTGATTAGTAGATAAAATTATAATAACACAAATAGCATGCACAGATTATTATATTTTTAATATTTAAATCTTAGTTCTTCCATAGTTGTTCCAGTTATATCTATATTATTATCATCAAATAATTTCCATCATCGACTATTACTTCAATTTTGTAACTGAAGAAAATTGATTAGTTTTAAACTTTAATAATAGATCAGTATATATCAATATATTTATTTATTTGTAACTATATATTAGTTTTAAACCTTATAGATAAATATCAAGAGTGAATTGGGTAGAAATCCATAAGAAAATGAGAAATTAGTGATTTGCCATTTTTGGTGGGGAAAATAGTAATGTGTGGGGAGGAGAGATAAAGGAAGAAATAGGGTATGAAGTGAATTATGAGGTTTAGTGTGTGTATGGAGTGCAAATACTCAAATATCAATGTGTATCGATGGTATAAAACAATTATAGTTATGTTATCGGTGGTTAATTATATTAATACAAATTGTGAAAGAAATTACATAAGCGTTCTACAGTCAACAATTGTACGCCTTTTATAAGGATTCACGTCTACATCCCCATAAGTTTTACATAGGACTCACACCATACATATTTTTTGTACAATACTAAAATTATCCTGTAAACATTTTGTCCAGTAAACTGATAATTTTCCTTCTCACAAACTCAAAACATGGACCTGATAATGTAAAAAAAATAATCTTTAGTCAAACCTAGACCAATGGGCTTCCATAAAAAATAGTTAATTATATGAAAATAATAAAAATATTTTTACAGTTCTCTTTTTGTTTGGAATTTTAAAGAAAATTCTTTATTTTGAACCAATGCCTACTGATTTTGTAATTATCTTAACCCATGTTTTTTTGACTTTTCAAATATAATTTTATTTTAAATAAATAATACAACTAAAATAAATTTATAGACTTCTAATTATTTTAAACACATATTATATTGGTAGTGCAAATAAGATTCTACAACTAAAATAAAATTATAATAAATTTTGGTTTTGGAATTCTCTTTGTAAAATCTAAAATACTATTATATTTATAAGAATTTTTTAAGATTTTATTTTGTATATAAAACTTAAAATACTGTTTTTCTTTGTAATTATTTTAAACCTATGCTTAGGAAAATAAATACTAATATTAATATCGATTTTTTGTTTGTTTACAATATTTTGTAAAAATTAGAACAATATAAAAATTACTATTAATAACTATTTCTAAGAAAAATTTTGAATTCCTTTTTTAACTTAAAAAGGAAAATTTACTATTAAATAATTATTTTCAAGAAAAAAATAAATTCGTTTAGTTTGAGTATTTTTTATAAATAAAATTGTAAGAAAGAATGAAATTCGTTTTTAGTTTGAGTATTTAAAAAGGCAAGTTATGATTTAAATTTGTTTAGTTTAAGTGTATTTTTAAGAAGAAAAATTGTAAGAAAAAAATAAATTCGTTTAGATTAAGTATTTAAGAAAAAAAATGAAAATTATGATTTAACATATGTCATAATCTTAGATATGTAATCGCCACGTGTCACAATCATGTTAATTAGTAACTTTGAAAATCAAGCTTTATATAATAA